AGATGTGGGACCTTCAAAGATATGGAGTGGGCAGGGGAAAGAGGCACATGTCTTCAGGAATGAGGGCACAGATCGCTAAAAGCAGAAGCGGTTTCACAGCTGACTTATTCATCCTTATGAAGAAATAGCTTTGCAAGCAGCTTACCTACGGTCCAATGGACCCACCCTGCTTGGAAGACTCTCCACAGACTTGCACTGCAGCACTTTCGCTGAAGGCCTCAACCTGTTATTGTGGTTGCATTAGCAGAACTGCACTCTCAGCCTCTCTCAATGCACCAATTCTGAAAGAGCTTTATAATGTGAAACATTAAGCAGCTGTAAAATGCTGATCTGTTGCTTTAAAAGTATGTGTACTCTAAAAAGGGGGAAGGAGGGGGGCGGCAAAGCATCTGTTTCCATCGTGCATGCCAGCTTATTTTTGGTCGAATCAGACCCAATATAGCCACTGTTTTAATATTTAATGTTGTGCTGCTACAGCAACCAGCTTCCACATACTTTGGAAGCATTAATACTCAGCATAAAATTCCCTCTATCGGTTCACTAGGTGACAGAGCTGTCCAGTGACACTTTGGTGCCAGAAAAATGCTGATAGTTCCATACTCCCAAGTGGGTCATAATCCAACAAGAAGTTCTCCTGTGCAACTCTCATTGAAAGGTGCTTGTGCAGTGACTATTTATTTCACACTGCACACATAAAGGGATGTCAACTTTTCAGTTTTCCAGTAGCGGCTGGGCCAAACTTGGGAGCGCTTAATAGCAAGTTGATAGTGCGTACAGCTGTGTCCTTAAAAAAATCTCACCATCACCAGCATCATCTGCCTCACTACCTGCAAATACACAATCTCTGCAAATCTCTGAGCTGAGACATGAACCAAACTCTTTCTTTTCCTTAACCTGAGCAGTGAGGAAACCAATGATGCTTTTGCAAACAGACAATCTCTCTTACAGCTTCTTGGGGCTGCTTTTTTTGGGGAAAGTAGTACAAGTGGTACCTCAGGTTACATACACTTCAGGTTACAGACTCCGCTAACCCAGAAATAGTACCTCGGGTTAAGAACTTTGCTTCAGGATGAGAACAGAAATCATGCTCTGGCGGTGTGGCAGCAGCAGAGGTCCCGTTAGCTAAAGTGGTACCTCAGGTTAAGAATAGTTTCAGGTTAAGAATGGACCTCCGGAACGAATTAAGTACTTAACCCAAGGTACCTGGAAATATTTATATACAATTTGTTATTTGGGGATATATGAATTTTCTTATCCAAATACATTCACTTTGGATTCAAAAGAATCAGCAACTCTTTTCATTTTGGGAAGGCAAATATTACATCTTAAAGCCTGGACAAGCTGGAGGAAATGTCTATAGAAAGTGCAACAAGAGAGAAAAAAATGGGGGCAGCACAGTTTTAACAATTTATCACCAGGGGGCGAGAGAACCTCAGAAAACACCTGGAACAATATTTACGCTGAAGATATTTGCTCAAAATTGTCTCTGATGGGAGAGCACAGAAATTGGCACCATGCCCAGACTATATTTAGCATGAGTGCAGATGTGGCAGTCAAGCCAGTGTTTTGCTCAGTCCTTTCACAGATGTGAAGACGTGACTTTTGGAATTGTGCTTTTGGATGCAAAACGAAGGAGAGCTCTATGGGGACTGAACATTCACAGCTGGACTGTAATAAGGCATGGGCAGGCAAACTGAGGCCCAGGGGCTGGATCCGGCCCAATCACCTTCTAAATCCGGTCCACAGACAGTCCAGGAATCAGCGTGTTTTTACATGCGTAGTGTGTGTCCTTTTATTTAAAATGCATCTCTGGGTTATTTGTGGGGCCTGCCTGGTGTTTTTACATGAGTAGAATGTGTGCTTTTATTTAAAATGCATCTCTGGGTTATTTGTGGGGCATAAGAATTTGTTCATATTTTTTTTTCCAAAATATAGTCCGGCCCCCCACAAGGTCTGAGGGACAGTAGACTGGCCCCCTGCTGAAAAGGTTTGCTGACCCCTGGTAATAAGGACTTGAGTATAGTTACTTCCACACTAGAACCCTAAAGCACTGCTAAGATGTTGCTATTTCGCAAGTACAGTACCTGGAACCAGAATTAAAATGCAACTTCCATATACGTTCCAAATAGTGTTGCATTTTCTCAGCAATCTTCTTCTCCATGACCGAGGTCTCTTCTAGACTGTTGCTATTTTGGAATGGGGTTCCATCACAAGCCGGCAAATTCTGGTCATGCAATTAAGGCTGATATGGAGGTATTGCACAACCCACAACTGGGCTTGTTACAATAAGGAACGTGATGGGGAAATGTGCTTGGAAGTGTGAGGTAACACTTGCTCCGATGCAACAGCATGTAACCTCCCCACATACAAATGAGAAGGAATACTAATTAAGTTGCCAGCTCTGTCTACTTTCCCTGTAAACAAATCCAGATAAATGCGCTATGAAGCCATAATCTGGAAGCATCCCAAGAATGTCCCTATAGTGGTTACTCACACAGTTCCGTTCCTGCAAGGAACTTGAATTATGCATTCCCACTCATACTTTCTTTGTAACAAAATGCTGCCATTAAAAATGAAATGAAAGAAATGAGAAAAGGAAAGTGAAAATAATAATAATGAAATTAAATCCATAATTAAAGCCAACCCACTCCATCCCCCCCAAGGACAGAAACTGGTATCTGGTTGTTCAGTTGAAAAGGAATAGACTAGTATTCATCCATTTAAACTCATCCCCGAATGTGGGTTTTGAATGTCCTTGGATGGAAATGCAGTTGATTTCCAGAGCAGAACAGTGGAAAATGGGAGCAGGGTTTTTTTTTTTGGGGGTGTTACAGGGAGTTTGGGGATCTAAAACACACACTAATCAGACTAGATTAAGATTGGTTGATGCCTTGGAACTGTACCTCTTTGGGGGGCAATGGAGTGCAGAAAACACAAGCCTTTTATAAAACAAAGATGCATCAATCTGCTTAAAGAAACTTGAATTTGATGTCCATTGTACATGTCCTAAGTTCCCTTTTGCAGCCATCTTATAGCACTTTTCAAATCTTTACAACAGCCATGTAATGGAGTTCTCCCCCATTAAGCATGCCTGCAGCAAGGTTTAATGGAGGGGAGAGGCCCTTCACCTTAAGGTTGCAATATTTCAAATAGTGAAAATCCAGACAGAAACGATGTTGAGCTTTTGTTTGCCAAAAAAAAAAGGATCTGATGTATTTTCTTTGAAAATCATAAAAAAAACACGTCACTGCCGACATGGGTTGCCATACATCCAGATTTTCCCCGAAGTTATTGCAATTTTTGCCCAGACACTGCTTCCAACTGCAATATTCTGGATATGTCTGGGAAATTCAGGACATATAGCAACGCTACTTCACTCAGCAATTTAGCATGCCGCTGAGTGAAGCCCCTGCCTGCTCCTTTTGCAGGAGGGAAGCAGGGACAAACTTATTTTGGGAATCACACCAGGGACCCCTGCCCAACTTAATCTGACCTTGACTTGACGGAATGGCTGCTCCCAGCTGGCATTTGAGGAAGAGAATTCCTAGTGGAGCTTGTCCCTCAGCGGAGCTGATGGAATTATTGTGTCAGGCATATGAGCTGGGCCTTGGAATACGCCACTTCCTGGGAATTATCGGCAAGTTCTAGGTAGACTTACACAAATCTACACTTTAAATGATCATATAGACAGCAGCAACTACTGCAGGCAGCAAAACCAAAACTCATCCATGGGGAAACAAAACAAGGACCATTTGCCAGTTTCGGAGAAGCAAAGAAGCACATCCACAACCTGTTTTGTTGCCTGAGGGAACCTAGAAAGGTTGCCCACAGAGATGTGCCGAAAGGTAGGAGGAGATGGAAGCAATTTGGCCTGTTTGCTTCACAAATGGGACAGCAGTCGCCCTGCCTCACAGTATTTCCAAGGCTCCAGGCCTCCCCGAGCCAATAGTTTGATAACCACAGCTGCTGGTTGAACTGGCTATCATTGCCTCAGTGGAGTGAAACCCGTTCACTTCCTCACTCTCTCCAACTGGTTTATCTGCTCATCTGGACAACAGCTAAGTTACAGCTACGTGGAAGACTTCCTGTCACATAGGAAAAAGGGAATGTGAAGAATTTCAGAAATGACTCCCATGAGACTAGACACAAACAGAAGAGCAGAAAACCCCAATGTGGTCTCTGTCTGTACAAGGGGCATGAGATAGATTCAGCATGGTGGGCATTTTAACAAACGGACTGAAATACAGTCATACCTCGGGATGAATACGCTTCAGGTTAAGCGTTTTCAGGTTGCGCTCTGCAGCTACCCAGAAGTAACGGAATGCGTTATATCTGGGTTTTGCTGCTTGCACTTGCGCAGACGCTCAAAATGATGTCACATGCATGCACAGAAGCGGCGAAACGCGACCCGTGCACACGCAGATGCACAGTCACATGTTATGTTCACTTCAGGATGCGAGCGGGGCTCCAGAACGGATCCTGTTCGCATCCAGAGGTACCACTGTATCAAACTGTCAGTTATGCAATTTTTTGAGACCAGTTCTTCAACCAAAAAATGTTTACAAAAATACATATACCAGGTGAAAATGTGTATAAAAAAGCAAAATGAGGCCTTTAAAGCCCTCAACGACCTCAGCCCAGTATACCTGAGGGAGCATCTCCACCCCCATCATTCTGCCAGGACACAATAATTGACAGCAGCAACTACTTCAGGAAGCAAAAGCAAATAAATAAAATAATAAAATAAATAAAAAATATTGTTGTTGTTATTGTTGTTATTAGTAGTAAGTGAAAATAACATATAAAAATGCATTGTGTTAGGAAATATTGCCTGCAAAAAATTGTCTTAGGAGAAATGCACACTAAAGTGCTTGGAGGGAAATCGTA